GGTGTTGGGAAAATTGGACAGATACATGCAAAAAAATGAAACTAGACCACCAACTTACACCATCCACAAAAATAATCTCAAAGTGGATAAAGGACTTAAACATAAGCCGGGAAATCATAAAAATCTTAGAAGAATCTATAGGCAGAAAAATATCAGATATATGTCATAGCAATACCGATAGAGCTCCTAGGACAGGGGTGGGAAACCCCTGCATGCGTGCCAAACATGGCACACCAGTAACTTTTGCTGGCACGCGAAACCCTCTCTTATAATCGTCCATTTACAATTGTGAATCTTTGTTCTCAGTGATGAATTTTGTTAAGTCTCATAATAGGAGTAGCCTGACGGATGAAAGTAGTAGTTCGTGCATATCTCTGAAGGTCACGAAATATAAACCTGATGTAAAATCTCTGTCATCAGTGATGCAGCAGCAAAAGTCCCACTGATAATATCAAACGGAGTCATAAAGTTTTCTGTCAGACTATCAGTGTACATGTATACATTAAAAAATAAATGTATTTTTCATCATCATATACTGTGTTTTTGTCGCTCAAATGAATTTTATTATTTCTTCAAGGTTCTTCACATACGTACACCTTAGGAGATATCAAGTAGGCGTAACATGTTCTCAAAAAATTAGGGTTGGCATGCAGAAGAATTTTGAGTCAGAGATTTTGCTGGTTTTGGCACGCACTCACAAAAAGGTTGCCCACCCCTGTCCTAGGACCATGGAAAGAAACTAAGGAGAAAATAAACAAATGGACCTACATCAAAATAAAAAGCTTCTGCACAGCAAAAGAAACCATCAACAAAACAACAAGAAAGCCCACTGCCTGGGAGAACATATTTGCTAATGTTATCACCGATAAGGATTTAATCTCCAACATTTATTGGGTTTTCTTTCTATAGGTCTTATTTTTAGCAAAAGAAATACGTTTTAAACATCTCACCAATGTTGCCTGTCCTGGCAACTAGCAGGAGGGGCGCAGTGTGCTGTGTGGGAGCGTGAGTTTGCGTGATTTCCCAGGAAGAACCCCAGAGCTGATTTTGGTGTCAGTTTGACTCATCCGGTTGGGAAGGTGCTACATACCTGCAGGTAGCGGACCACACGGCACACCAGATCCGGCGCCATGAAGTCCCCAGTGAAGCGCCAGATAATGTCTGTCAAGATGTTCACCAGTCCTGTGAAAGAGTCTAACAAAAACACGGTGATTAATTTCCGTGTCTGTCAAATTTGCAGCCAGGTGCCGCCGCAGACATGAATTCCTGGGAGGTTTGTTATTTTCCTGATTCATCAGGAGGCTATTGAGGAAAAAGGGAGGCGACACAGGAGTCCCTGGACTCTTGTTACTGGAGCTTGTTGCCACTTGGATGTAGCCACCTCGGGAGGACTAGGTAATGACTGAAGAGGAATCGTGCTAATCATACAGTTGACCTTTTAAAGAGACAGAAGAGAAGTTTTAAGGGAGTTTAGACCTGCGCTAAAACAAGGACTGCATGAAGATTAATCAAAGGCAAAATTGAGAACAGGAAGAGATTTGTCTTTGAGAAGCCCCTCAATATTCTCTCTTCTGCACCCACTATTTTACAGCTTGGGCCTGGTGACCTCCTGTGAGTGATGTAATCAATATCCAAATGGCCCTTGGCAGAAAAAAGGTTCCCCACCCCTGCCCTAGAGTAAAGTGCAGGCATAAGTCTTCCTCCCACCCCTTATGCCTCCCTGGCTGCCCGGATTTCTCTTTTGGTCTATTGATAGGGCTACTCTACCCACAAAAGTTGCTGTTATTCCTTTAGAGAACTAGAGAGGTAAGTCTTCCCTTCTCAATCTTCACTGTGAACAGGATAAAGTCCGAGCCTCTCCCCACCCAGGTTAGTATAAATGCCTTCTCTACCATAGGACCTTCCCAAATCTCCACCTGGCATTTTCAGATGGGACACCATGTTGATCACAGATTTGTGTATTCAGATACCCATCCCCTCTGCTTGGAATGGGCTCCCTCCATGGAGCAGTTGATGGGATTCTCATTTACCTGTCAATATCTACTGTCACGTCCCCTCTCCAGAGCGTCCCTTGACCATTCACATAGCATGGTCTCCCCACAAGGGCACGTGGGCCTCCCAGTCTTATGCCTGCGTGTCTCTTCCTCTTTGTTTCTCTGTGGTGCCCATGGAGACTACAGAAAAGTGTCAACGTTTGGTGAAGAAACCCAGGGCAGCTCTGGGGAGTCAGAGTTCTCCAGAGAAGCTCAGACCTGCGCAGGGTCTGAGAGTTCTGGGTTGTGACCCGATCGTGTGGGAACTTCATGAAGCTTTTCCTGCAGGACTGGACTGGGGGAATGAGTAGAATGGACACTGGAATGACGTGGATATTCTCTCTGGGTTTACTTTGTACTTAATGTAAAATAATGGGGGGGGGGCGGTGTGTGCTAAACTCAGGTTTCTCTGGCTACATGAACAATTGTCATGCGCTCCAGTAACATTTCTTTTTCTCCCTGGAGCTCAACCAGAAATAAACCCACACCTGGGAGGAGACTCGAAGTAGAAATAAGCATTTTGTTATTTGCTTTTAAGCAAATGCTGCTCTACCTGATCAATGGAAGCTGTTTAGTTACCTAGGTAATTAAGCATGTTGCAAATAACCCTTTCCTAAAAGGTAATTAACGGGATCTGGGAACAAAGGGTACACTCTAAAGGCTTAACCACTTCTGCTTTTGAGAATGTATTCAGTGGAAGATCCTAGGAAGCTGTAAGAGTCAGAGAAGCCCAAACAGGCTGGCAGCAGGCTTCATTGTTCCTTTGATGCAATTTCTGGGAAGCTTGCATGTGGGTGCCCAGGTGAGCAGGAATACGGGTGGGGTGGGGGAAGTGAAGAGAGAAGTGGCTCCCCAGGGGAACCCTAAAGGGTCAGTAAGGCCAGGTCAGGGGAACGGGAGCGAAGGACATTGATTCTATGCACAGGCGACCGCATGAGCAAAGCTCTGTGGGTGAGAAAAGGTGAGACGAGAACCTCGTGGACATGAAGCAACCTCAGGGTGTTGCTGCTGAAGCCTCACATAGGAGCGTGGAGCGGTGAGAAATGGGGCTGGAGAGACGAGGACCCCGGCCTTTTAGGGTCTCCTGTGCCAATGAAAGGCGCCTGCATTTTCCCTGTGCGCTGTGGGGGCTGTGGAATGTCTGTGTGTTCAAACACGTGCTTTGAAGGGATTCATTTAGTTATGGGCTGTGTGTGTCCGTTTGGTAGGTCCAATAATGACATTGCCATTGGGCTAGTTAGGAAAACTACAGACATTCCAGAACGAGAGAATTCCTACCGAGTGAATCAAACAGGATAGAGAGATAGAGAGAAGGGTGCAGCTTTGAGATATACGTTATAAAGTAAAAGGAGGAGGATTTGATGCCTGAGGTGTTTAATTTCCCCAAATTTTGCATGGCTAGGTCTGCTTCAGCTTCTGTGTCCCCAAAAGCCCACCACACCATTGGAGGTAAGGCGGAAAGGGACACAGATCCGTCACTGTCTGAGGATGGGCTGAAGGCTGCCTCTGCCTAATCGAAGATCTTAGCAAAAATCCCATTTGCTCAAAAATAAAGGCACGGTGAACGCTACCAGGATGTGGAAGCTACTGCGGATAAAGGCTTCTAGGCTCAGAGCCCATCCGTCACGCAGCCAACCTGCCTGTACTTGGGCACCATCAGATTGGCTCCTAGTGTAGGTCTGTGAGAATCTCTGACTCACTCACTGTAGGGATGGGGATATCAAAGGCCTATATAGAGAGCTCCACAGAACCGATGCTCTTGATCAGGAAACCTCTTGCTGGGCATCTTCCTCCAGGCCAGAATGAATCGTATCTGGTGAGTTTTGCCCTTAGTTTCGGCCAGTGGGAAGCACAGAATGAAACGTACTCAGCTGCGTTCACTTGGTAGCGCCTCAGAGCCTCACTGTGGGTCTCTGCAGTTAGAGTTGAATATTTTCTATGGCCCTCTTACCTTGTGTTTTTCATTTTGCTGGGTGTGATCTCCCACGTCCAAACAGCGAGGGCAGCATGCATCTTGGGGCCCGACTACAGGGTGCTGGTTCTGCCACAGAATCACTGTGCAATCCTGGGCATGTTACTAACCACGTGGAGTCAGGCTCTTTGTAAAAATGCGGTGGTAAGAGTACCTGCTCTGTAGGGCCATTGCGAAGGTTAAATGAGATAGCGCATGTGAAGTTCTTAGTGAAACGCTTGGCACATAAGCCCTTGGTACATCTTGGTGCTGATGTCAGGAATAGAGCTGAACGAACAGAGAGCCACAGGGACTGGGATGAGAGGGTGAGTCTCACCCTGAGTCCTGAGCTCTTAGCCAATGTGCTGGAAGATAGTTTTCTGAACAAAAAATTATAAATGAAAAGTTGAGGCTTTGTTTAAATCAGATCGGCAGTAAAGACGGGTTATTTTATCTGCTATAATGCATGCTAGTTAACTTAACAGGTTTGACATCGACTAAGAAGACGGTGGTGGTTACATGAACTGATTGGCTGTCAGGGTGAAGAGAACCCAGCCAGAACTGGGGTGAACAGAACACAAGGAAGACTGACTGTGCTGAATGGTCCAGGGATTGGACCACTGTTTGCTGGCAGGGATGCTGCTTGTGGGGCGATTCTTAGGCGAGACTGCCCTGTGTGTCGCGGGAAAGTCAGCGTCCTTGGGCTGTGGGATAACTCCAAAGGCCCCAGGACTGAGTCCACGAGAATCACCAAAGTATGGAAGGACATTTGGGGTTAGATCAGCCATGGGCAAACTACGGCCCGCAGGCTGGATCCGGGAGTCCATGAGACTCACCAAAGTATGGAAGGACATTTGGGGTTAGATTGAGAATATAGCCTGGCACCCCCAGAACAGTCCTACCTTACACCTTGTCATGATTATGCCTATGGTCCTTTCACGCAAATGTGTCCTGGGACACTCCACAAAATACCTAGCCTGTACTGTTTCTATAATGTTGTAAAACACAGAGAAAGACTGAGAAACTATTCCAGATAAGACTGAAGATACATGAGGACAGAGCACAATACATGACCCAGGGTTTCTTTTGCTCTGAAAGATGTTCTCAGGGCGACTGGTGAAAAAGCTGAAGGGGTTAAGAAAACAATACGCATAGACACAGACATCAGTGTGGTGATTGCCAGAGGGAAAGGGGGTGGGGAAGATAGAAGAGGGTGCAGGGGGAATGCATGGGGATGGAAGGAGACTTGACCTGTAGATGTAGATATAATTTCTACATCTTGGGGGTGACGATGAGGACTAAATTAAGCGAAGCATATAAGCCAGAAGCAGGCCCCGGTGCACGGCCCCTGCTCTGCTCGCTTCCCCAGGAGAGAAACGGAGCTGGAAAAATATGAGTAATGTGCCAAAAGCCACAGACGCGGTAGTAGAGCCCAGATTCAAACCCTGGTCTCCAGACTCCACCACTTGTTTTTGTGCAGTTTTAAAATGAAGAATGGTTTTTATAATGTTGTAATGATTGAAAGAAATCAAAAGGAGAAAAACACTTTGTGGCACACGGAAAGTTTATGAAATTCAAATTTCAGGATCGACAAATGAAGTGTTGCTGGGACACAGCCATGCCACTTGCTCACGTTTTGTCCATGCTGCCTTCATGCTCCAGTGGCAGAGCTGGCGACCAGATGTCCCTCAAAGCCTGAAATGTTTAATATCTGGCCCTTTGCAGAAAAGCTGGCTGCCCCCTGCTCGGGACTCAGACCCTGACCTTTCCATTATGCCCACGTGCTGGTGGGTCCAAACTCCTGGTGACCTTGCCAAAGCCTCTTGCGCTCCTAAGAAATCATTAAATCCCACACAGGTTGCGCCGATGTCCTCCCTGCTGGCTCGCACAGGAGAGCTTTGAAGGGACCAGATGGGAACAGATTCCCCCTCACATCTTAACAAAAATGCAATCTCTCTCTCCTTCATGTTCAGGATTTGATTAATTAGGACATGAAGGGAGGAAAGAACAATCCAGGCTGCTGGGCTGGGCTGAGCTGGCAGTCTGAGCTGCTGTGGGTCCAGCTCCTCCTCCCATTTGGACAAGCTCCCCTATGCCAC